ACCTGAGCATAACGTATAACGATCTCATTATCGGGTCTCTTGAAGCCGTCACGGCTCACATCTCTCGTGCAGAACGCGAAGATGCCACGCATACAATCATCTTGTTACCTTGATGTCATGCGATTCGTGGACTTGCCCGTCTATAAAATGCTGCGTTTAAGTAGAGGTATGCATCTTCGCTGCTAAAATTATCTTCTTTCATGAATAAGTCATTATATTGCTTGAATTGAGATATTCTTGACTAAGAAAGAAAATTATATGTATTTGAATATATCAAAATTTATTTTTTTCGCGAATTTTCTAAATACAAATTTTAAATTAGATAATATTATGCAATATTATATATATATATATATGCACAATATATATCATAATATAATGCGTTTTAAATATAATGTAAAATAGTGATCGGTCATCTGATCATCAATTATGCTCACGCGTTTCTTCTTAAAAGGATTATTAATATATTATGGAAATATTATTGTATCGTGTTTCTTTACGCCAAACAAATTAGAAGATCATTACACATAAATTTTTTACATTATTATACAAACATGCTTACCTCACAAACGTAATTGAATTGCTTAACTCGTAATGAGAATAATCGGAACAAGGCCACGAGAACTTAGATATCTATATTGAAGAGTCAATGAACCGAAATGATTTTAGAAGATCATTTTTCATTAAAGCATGCAGCGATATCTCAGACACTCAAATGACAATCAATACGAAGAATGAATCTCTTAAGCGTTTCGTATAATTTAATGATCCACATGATTTAAATCAATTAACCTCATAGTATTTGCTGATATTGATAATGTGTTCATTATTTTTTAATTTATTATCTTATATTACATTATATGTAAGATTGATTGGAATGCAATTAATCGCTTCTTTGAAATTGAATCGATTTATAATGGAAATTAAAAAAGACGATTCTCACACTAAGACAATGGGCGACTCGGAACGATGAAAATAGTTTGCAATTTTCAAGGTGTGTGGGCCTGTATGCATGCAACGTCTCTCCCTTCCCTCCCTTTTTCCTCTCTCACTCATTTCTCTTGTGCCTTGCTACAAATTGCACCGACAAACGATCAAAGAACAAGGGAACTGCTCTTATTGAAGAATTAAAATCCCATCAGACCTTCTCTGAAAGAAATGGGCGCGCGTTTATGCGAATAATTGAGAAAAAATTGAGAGAATTAAGGAATAAATGCCGAGTCATTCTGACGCGCTCCGCGCAAGAATGCAATCCTGAAGATATCCAACTAAAAATAAAACACAATTGCACAAATTACAATTGTATCCTTTAATAAGATTTTGCATATGTATGTAGAAAGAATCATTAGTCGAGAGAGGGTTGAAAGAATCGAACACACACATTGCTAGGAATTGTTTGTGATGGAAACGTGTCGAGTATTCAAAGAGGGTCAACCTCGATAGTTGCTTTTTATCCTGAGAATTTCTCTGCAAAAGTATATAGGTAGTAAAAATCCCACGGTTCGCGACAAAGCTTGACGAGCCCTTTCTCCCTTCTCTCCCTTTTAACTTTCTCTTTTAACTCGAGGGCCTATAAATCCAGCTTCATCCGTGTCGTGCGTCTCCGTGTCGTCGTTTCGTCCGAGCATGAACACGCGCACGCGTGATTTATCGTTACTGATGGCTTAATGAAACTCGCATCGTGAAGCGAGAATTAAGCGACGCGACGAAGCGCGATTAGGAAAAAACAATCCCGTTTCATGACGCTGGATCGTGTAGAAAAGACGAAACGCGTCGTATAACGCCCGACACTGATTACGTCGCTTGTAAATTATTAACTATTAAAGGCTTAGTAAAATCCAGAGTATATTGTTAATTGGGATATAAAACGGTAGAATGGCGATTGCAATAAAAATATGTTGGTCGCAATGACTTCGTCGATGATCGTCATAATTTGCTCACGATGTACCGCGCGTTATTACGGGTCATGTATAGTTTCGTTGTCGTTGATCTTAAAACTCGCTTACGGATCGAAGTCTGTACGAGTCGCGGACAATACTATCTCATAATCTGACAGAATATGAGAAATAACAGTTATTCGTAATCTCAATGATGACAGCTATATATTTATCGCAAATTGTTACCTAATGAAGGGATAATCTTGTCTGACGTATGAAATTCGGCCAATGACATTTATACTTTATCATAATCATTGTAAGATATAGATTGAAAGTTTCTTGGTAATTTTCGCGCGTGGAAAGATTAGTATCGCAATAATTTTCTAACATAAAGCATGTACGATTTGTTTTGCTTCGTAAACGTTTTAGTGAGTCTCGAATTAAAATATTTAGCAGCGATTAAGATCGACGTAACGTTCATATTTAATCGCGCGATTTGTAAGCCGATCGTTCCGGATTATTTAATCGCGATATGAATTGCCAAGGATTAGAGTTAATCAGGTAGAATCGCACGGCTCCGCTCGATGGCGAAGCTAGTTATCGTCGCAGGACGAAGATACTTGCGGACTCGTCGATGTCCGCGACGCATAGCAAGTGCCATTATTTATTAGAGATCGCGGATCGGAAGTCGGTTACGACCGAGAGGTGAGAGTGTTGCTGTCGTTAAGGGCCCCGACAGGATTACTCGTTATTCCCACGTTTTCTCACTCACGTTTTCTTTCGCGCGCGTTCCGTGGATTTCCAGACTCATTCGTACGAGCAACGAGCAACGAGTTTTAACCGACGATTAGCATACTTAATTAGACATGTCAGCCCCGTCGTTTTACGCGTTATATGTACCCGGTCGAACACCCGATGCCGACCTATAGGGCTCCGCGTTCTCGCAGTAGCGTAACCATCGCAACTCCGGAACTTAAACCGCGAGACCATAAGAGACCCGTCACGTATTTCCCGGTTGCGCTGCGCGTGTGCATTCCTTCAGAGATAACGCCGGAGAAAAAAAAATAAGATGGAGAAGCCTCGGAGAGTTGGTTTATCTTTTACGGTTGCAAACAAACCTCATTTAGCAATCGTACATATGCAGCAGCCGTTGGATACTTCCGGAATTAAATTAATCTCCGGATTATATCTAAAGCGGTTGATTATGATTAGAAAAATGTTTTATTACATAATTATTATTTTCTGCGTAATATTTTTTATATACATATAAAAGAAATATTATGCAAAAATAATTATTTAATCAAATATTTTCCATGTTATATACATATACATATGATTAAATTAAATTTTTATCGTTACTGTAATGTATTTTATACAAGCCATATTTTCGAATCACTACCGAGACAAGATTCTTTCTGATTATGGATTATATTTATCTAATTCGTTCGATATTTAATTAATCATTGATATATACGGATAAAAATTTAAAAGTATACCATCGACGCGATACGCCACTGAATCACTGAGCAAAAGAGCCATATAATAAATCGAGAGGAGTCAAGAGTAAGAGGAACAAGATCGGCTCTGTGAGTCGACTTGTGCACGAGGATGCGAGCGTGCGAGAGATTAAAACGAAAAACTTCTCTCCGCACTCGTCCCCCGCCCCCTTTTTTCCTCCCTGAAAGAGCGTCACGCATTTAACTGAGGATGCCGGGGCTCCCTGCGGCGGGTTCAATGGGTGCCCCTCTATACCGGCGCCCTTCGCCGCGAGCGAAGGGGGAAGGTGCATACAGGTCGATACACGTGTGTGCGTTGCGTATAAATTTGTACTGTGTACGAATTTCGGTGAACCTCATCGCTCTCATTTACTTGTTGCTCCTCGACCCTCGAGGAAGAGAACGGTTCCTTAATCACAGCCATACTCATGGACCGTAACTTCCGTGTGTCAGACTACGTAAATGGGAGATGAATTTCACACCTCGACACATTCTCGATTATAAATAAATAGTTTAAGCGCTTCTATAGTCTTTGATTAAATATGTCCTATTTTCGGGCGCTCTTTTGGAAGTATCATTATTATTTTCTTCCTTTATTAATGCTTGATTTTATTGATAATTTCTATAATAAAATTTGGTTAAAGCTATGCATTTTTAATCTTGGAAAAATAATGTTTATTGTATAGAAAATTCTTACTGATTCAATTATGTATTAATAAGTTAGCATAAATTATATAAACAAATAAATTTTACATTTTAATTTTAAATAATTATAGATACGTCTCGACAAGTTCAAAAGCTATTTAGATGTTCCTATGATTTATGTTGAATGTGCTTAGAAATCTCAGAGTTTCAAGTGTTAATATTGCTTTCTCCTTTCACGACTGATATACCCGTGTTACTTCTCTTCTTTTTTACGACTGCAATTTATAATCTTATAAATAAATTACAGTTAAATTATAAAGCTAAGGAGAAGAACTTTCGCGTGACCTCCTCAATCTCGAAAATAGTGTGGTATATCTTTGCGATTTAAATATTTTAGTGTTTGAACTACTTCCTTATCGATCTTAATGTTCTCCATGGATTCTAAAGTTGCAGCCATCGCTTAAGTTTTGTGGTAGATCATTAACGAGGATTTTACTCTCGATCATTCGTTTTTCATAGAATAACGAATGGATTCTGCTTGCGAATGTAGTTTTGCTCATTTCTTAATTATCCATGCGTGAAGCGAATGGATATCAAATTGTCATGGTAACAAATATAAAAAGCAATGACAGTGCAAATAGCTTCCTGTTTTTGCGAGAAAAAATAAATAAATAAAAAATAGGGGACGACCGTTATAAAGAAATTAAATGAATATGCGCTTCTATCCTCTTACTAATTGACTAATGCGATGAAAATATCATATATTTAAATGAACATATAATAGAGCAGAATAATTGATTTGAATTTCCTTTAAAATTGACTCGTTACAATTGTTCCATTTTTGCTACTTCTTTAACCCTAAGTAAGCGAAGAGCGTACACTTAGATTAACACGTGTGTGCATTCAGCGCGTTCCACGACATTTCGAACTCGTGATCTCGATCGTGCGGCACTATCGATACATCCTCAAAACTGATACCGACCTTGAAGACAGCCCAGTAGAACGATCCCGAGGACGAGCGAAAGTTGACGACGCATTCTTCCGCTAATATCTTCTTAATATCACGATGTTGCCGATGCGGCGACTTGACGAAATGATATCCTCGCGCAGGCGAGGAATCCTTGAGCTCCAACGGATGATTACTTTATTGTCAAGGCCCTTTCGTCACCGAGGTCGTATGAGAGAGTAGAGCAGAGCGGAGGAGAAAACGGAAGAAGAGAATAAAAAAAGAGGAAGAAGAGACCGCGCGAGAAGGAGGCTCG